ATTCCTAATCTGACAACTTATTTCTCTTTTAACAGAGATAACCTGATGAAAGAAATCATTAAGACTCAAGATTAATTCCCAGATATGCTGCAGTTTGATATTGTATTGGCTCTTTTATTTCAACTGTATAACTAAAATGACTTGTATACTTAAATACCAGTTAAAAAGAAATACCTACAAGGTGGCGATGCTAAGAGGAAAATCATTCTTCCCATTTATTGAATTTTCATAGTCAGAAAAACAACTATTGGATTTGAAAGCAGATTTGTCGAGGAAAAGAATTTGCTGAAGGTAGAAAACATGGTGGGGCTTTTCTCCAAATTCCCTTGCTGATAAATGAACGTTAATGCTTAAGCCCTTCTAATGAAGACAAGTTTACCATGGAATAAAGTCGTCAATGATGAGCAGAAAACAGAGCATTTGTAAATACAATGTAGCACAGAATGATAAAGCACATCCAATTTATGCGAAGATGTGCTTGCAGCAGTATGATAAATAATATCCGCATAATCAATTACTGGAAAAAAAGACAGACTGAATAAATTGTTTTCTGGCAATTTATAGAAAACAAGCCTAGCACAAAAAGGACAATTTGGCTTTAGTCTTTTAACAGGATTGCCTGACAAGCACTAAAACCAGACTTACTAGTGATTCAAAGGACACAGTATTTACAACTGTCTATTTTCATTAGCAATAAAATAGTCTATGTAGGGCAAATGCAAAAATCATATTTGTTTTTTACATAGAAAGCAGAATATACAACGTAATAACAGAAATATTTATGTCCTTTTGATATTTACTGTACCTGAGATTCTTTGGTTTAAAACACATGCCGGGTGAGAGAAGTGGGAGACAAAGCAAGAAAAACATATTTGATAGGCTCATCAATAAATAACAATAATGGGACACTACAGTAATTTTAATTTGGTATAGTCAATGTATATTTAATAGCCTATATCCACTTGTCTCAGTCAGAAAGTTTTTATTGATCTGGGTAGCACTGATGTGAGCCTTTAGAGAAATTTCAGAATAATTTTAAAACTGAATTAGAGAAGCTACAAATAACACTGTACCTTTACAGAGCGATTTACTTTATTATCCAAAAGATCTCTGAGATGCACAGAGTGTTTCTAGAAAGCATCAGAAACTGTTTAGTATACTGAGAATATTAGAATGAGTGAAAACAGCCATTTAATATCATGAGATTAGCTTTGGAAGACAATGTGACTGAACAGAAGCAATTCTCCAACTCACCCTTACACCAACCAAAAGAAAACAAAAATTTAAAAGAAAATATCTAGGAGCTGACAGCACAAGTAACATTTGCCTGTAAGGGTATTCAATTTTTTGTTAGAATCTGCATAACACAACTAGATAATTAACAGAAAAAAAAAACCCACAAAAAAAAAACATTTAGCCATTTATCACCTTCAGTCTACGCAGAACATTAAAATTCACATAACCTCCAGATTCAGTTTCCTCGAAAAACATTCAGTGATGCCTGCAGCACTACTTATTCTATTAGTAAATAAAATGCTGGTTTTATTTTGGTGCCATTCCAGTATAACAAAAATCTCTCTCTTCATCTGTCCATGGAAAAGGTACAGCCAACCTTCAGCAGGCTACTGTTTGTCATTTGTTCTACATAAGGGACACAGCCCTAGTTTCATCAGCTAAGCAGATTAAAAGAGAAAAATCAATATCAAGCTGATGCAATGCTTGATACACACTTGATTGTGTTTGAGAAGAGGGAGCGTGAAATTTGGCTCCTTAAAATTTGCTGTTGATGTTGGGATTCAGACAAGAGTTTGAATCTACATACCAGATGCCAACCTCCTTTTTGGGACTCTATCAAATTTTGACCTTTTGGCTGAACAATTTGCATACTTCAAGGTAACCATACCTTGATTAGCCACGATCTGAGTAATGGAAATACTTGGTTGTTCAGAGGTCTGAGATATCCCCAGAGGTTTCGCTTCAGCGCATAAATCTTCAGGCACTGGTCACGCTTCACTGCCTACATGCATACAGAGTTACTTCCTGAAGTCTTTATACCCATTTCAGGACATTAAGGCTTCACTGCACAAAGATTTATATGCTGAAGCATCCTCACATCAAGATTTTCCTACTAAAAATATGAAGAGCTGTTGCTGCTCTCTTCCTGACCCAAGAAGCTGTTATCCATAGGGATAGGTGCTGTAAAGGTCCTCAGAGCAAGCACCAAAGCAAGCACCCAATATTAGTCTCCAAGGAGCCTTCAGAAAAGCATCTGTTGAGACACTTGTGGCCTTTCTGTTGAGGAAGCTATACCATACACAGAGCACGCATCTGTGTGAAGGTTAAAGACTTTCTGCAGATTGGAAATAACCAAGACTAAAATATACTAGCAATAGACTGTAAAAATTCATATTCTGAGCATAATAGACTGAAGTGTAACACAGTATAAATTACCTTCTGAAACAAAACAGCAACAGTTCAGTGTTTCACACCGCTGATTCAGTGTTCAGGATTTTACTCTGTAATATTAATAGGAAAAACAATTTCAGTTTAAATGGAAGTATTACTGGACTCTCCCAAGTGCTACACTTCTTCTAGTGAAAACTGATGTATCTCTGAAGTTTGTCAAGTCAAACGGCTTACATACAACACTGCATTTCCAGTGGAAGTACATATTTGCATCATCGTAAGGATGGCATATATTGTGATGCAGCCTACTTCAGTGTAGTGCATTCTCAAATATAGGCACAAAGGTGCACTGTATCTGCTCTATAAAGTGACTTCCTTAGAAAAACTTCAATTTCTAAATGCAACAGAATCTCATTTTTCTAATTGTCCAAAGAAATGCATCCGATTTTCTCTTCTAGTCAACCATGTAGTGTCAACGAAAGATTTTCCTGGCACACGAGCTACAGGAAACACATATATTTTCAATTTTGATGAGTTACATTTTTGGCAGTCATAAATAATTAAAACCTTCATTGAAAATTTCCTCATATAGAGGGGCAAAAAGATTATAACCAGAAAATACTTCATGAATAGATTCATACTGGCACATCAGAAGTGTGTTAAACATCCTTGCGAGAGTAAACTGTTCATTTTTATTTCATGTTGAAGTACTATGGACAGGTTTCCCTTTTCAAACAGGGAAATTTCATATGCCAAGACCATACCAAGCATGGGAGCACGGGTCAGCCTTTTTTGATGCAAACTCCTCTGAGTTTAGATCTACATTGGAGTCTTCTAGGATTAAGCAGAGATGATGGGCCAGTACCACTACCAAAACAGAGCCATTCAATATTCCTAGAAAAGTGAATGCAGTTTGAGGCTTCACTAGTTGTATCTATTTTGACTTCTGACTGGAATCAGGACTACAGAACTTCTTTCAGAGGGCACACACGTTACTTACAGAAAAATAAGTTTGAACTTCATTCTACACTTATCTCAAGTGCATGGGTGTTTGTAAAAAGCATCATCAAAAATGTGGGGGTCAAGTTAGGCAACAGATTTCCATGATAGAGTTACAAAATCCAATCAGATTTCAGACAACTTAATGTTAAGTGTTTGGTTCAGTTAAGAACTGGGTTCAAACCTCTGACTTCAGTGAAGCAATCTAAAGACAATGCAAAAATAAGAACTACAAAGATTTCCAGCCCTCTGAACCTATCCACTGTTTTTTAAATCCCAGAATGAAAGCTACTCTTGCAAAATGTTAAAAGAAATGGTTCATTTTGAGGGTTTAACAGAGACATACAATACTCTGGATTTATTAATGGGAGGAGCAGCTTGTTAAGAAATGTTACAAGACATCCGTGAAAACCCTTCAACCAAGATGCCTTGTATGTTCTTTACCAGCAGCCTGGGATTTGAGCCATTAAGTCCAAAGGATATAACCTATTCAAACTTTAACATTCCAGTTAATGCAAATTTATAATTAAAATCTTTGTTATCTTTGTAGTAACTGTACTTGGTTTTAATAATCTGAAACTGCAACAAGGAGATTTGAGGTTGAATATTTCATTAATGTAATTTTTTTCTTTTTTTCTTCAAAAGGAAAAATCTCGAGGAAAATTAGTGTTCATGAAGGCAAGATCTTTAAGACCTATTTTAGGAGAGTATCCAAATATTATAAAGAGAAACTGGTGAATTCAGTGAGATACTGAATGCTGTCCAAGGTAAACTTATAAGCAAGTTGCATGTCACAGAATCCACCTGAGAATGATATCATTCATAGTTTGAGTGAGAAAAGACTATAAATATTCCTCTGCATATCTCTACATATCTTCTTGTCGTGTATTCCACAATGGTATAATTCTAACACTTCTGCTATTCTGACTACATTTTTTGCTAGGAAAGGGCTGCCACTCACTCTGTTACCGGTTGTGTTTTTTTTGTTGGGGCTTCTGGGTGGGTTTTTTTGGCTTTGTTACCACTGCAGCTAACAAGACACAGCAATTTTTAAAACAATCGTTACGAAAATCTCTGACACTTCAAAGCAGGACTGTTTTCCACACGTGAAGATCATGTAAAGCATGTAAAAAAACCTAAGAGATGCTGCAGATGTGGTGCCCTAAAGATTTCCAAGTACTGCTACAGACTGTAGGAGCAATCATCATCTCACATGGAGACCGGTGCTATAAGCTATAAGTTTTTGTCAACCTTTATGATTCTTCCTTACTTTATAATTCTGAAATGATGACAATGAAAAATGATGTATGTAATTTGACAGTCTCGCATGGAATTGTATTTTTTAACAAGAAAACAATCAAGAGCACAATAAATAGTATTTGTCAACCTATCCTTACAGATAAGGGAAAAATATCCTAGGTCTGGAATGTTAAGGACATTTAAAAGGAGAATGGCACGTATTTTTTGAAAAGTAGAAACTGAAATGTATTATTGCTCCCTTTTGGCAAGAGAATGAAAGAAGTCATACGGAAGACGCAGCTCATGTCAAATACAAATAAACACAAAAACAAAGAAGTTACTTTCAATAGCACGATCTCTCCATCATCCCCACATTTCTTATTGCATTGGAGATTTCTCTGCGGCCTAACTGGATAGCTGCAGGAAGAAGGACAAATCTGTGTTAATTAGCTGAAGAACCGGTAGTCTACAGCTATTTCCAAGAAAATTATGTGTGACAGATACTGCAAGTCCTCACTAAAGTAGTCAGACAAGTTCTGCTTATAAAATCACAAAGTAAGAAAGAATTTACTAAATGTAAGTCTGGGCATTTTCTAAACAAGATGTGGAAATGAGGAGCTCTTTCTCTTGCCTCTAAACTGCTTTTGAAGTATTTTTCTACAGACACAAAGAACTTCTGCACAGAGCACACCTCAGTGAGGCAGAAACAAGACCAAGATTAATTATTTTAGAGAAGCAAACAGCTATTTACAGAAAATCTAGCACAATGCCCATGCTACCTAGTCACCAATGTACAAAAGAAAATGTTACTTTTCATTACACTGCAAGAGTTGTCTTTTCCTAGTTATGGTGCTCTGGCACATTGGGGCCTGGTAATACGCACAATAGCTGGGAGTGACTGCAGTATAAATAATAGTAAGAACATGCACCTTTATTGTAGTTGTAATAACCCTAAGTACCTCCAGAGCTTTCTAATTGGCAACATTTTGTTGCTTCTAGTGAAGCTACAGCAATTTAACTCAGCTGAGAATCAGACCCAGAGTATCATGTTCTGTTAGGAAAGTGAAATAACTTTGAGGAATAATAGCATCAGAAAATCTGATGATCTGAACAGATTTGGTTTTTTAATATAATCTTTTCAAAACAAGTAGGAAGGGTTTCTGTTTTTAAGAGAAGTAAGATAGGGGCCATTTTATCCTACTACATATTAGTGATGTTCTCAGAAACTTCAGAATGCATATCCTCACAGTTACCCTCCTCATGTTTCTGGATAGCATAATTCATAAATATGCAATGTGAGCTCTGGAAAAGCAGTAACAGTTTGAAAACAGATAAAAAACACATGGAAACAAGGATAACTTGAACGTAGAGTTTGCAAACCTATTTGCAGACCTGCATCCTTAGTAATTTGCTTATTGAGAAATAAGCGCTTCCAGGGTTTTCATAGGACTGCGCTCAGATTTCCCATAGCACCCAGTCTGGCAGTTTTGTTTTGCTGTTGTTTGAGGGGTTCTTGCTTATGGAGCATCAGATAGTTTTCCCATGCCCTATAATGAGTATCATACATATTACATTCTGGCCTCTACCTCAGCTGTCTTTAGGCTCTGAAACTTTTGATTTCTCATAACGTCACAACTGAAAAATGAACTCGCTCCCTGAATTCCAATGGACACTTAAAACATTTTTTCTTTTTTTTTTTTTCTTTTTTTTTTTTTTTTTTTTACTGCTAGGGCTTCCAGGACTTTTGATGTTTGATGTTGAGAAGTATGGACATGTAAAGAAAAGATCAAAGTACACTTCTGACTAATAAAACTCAGCAAAAGTTACTGCACAAAATGCTGGTAAAATTAGACTTCATCAAGGAATCATGGATAGCTAAGGATAAAAGGAAAACATTAAAAATCAGAACAGAAATATTAAAAATAAAAAAGGCAGGAAAAAATTGTTTTAGAAGGGCAGCAGGAAAACATGCAAAAGATCATGGTAAACATTATCTAATTCTATGTTTTCATTTTTACACTGGTTTGCAGATAACGTGCTGTTGGATAAAGTACTGCTCGATAATAATGCTGGTGGGAAATGAGCATGCCTTCTGAATGACAACACTGCATTTATGTTCAAAGCTCTAATGCTTCATGGCATACATAGGGAAAAAATGCAGTCTTGCTTTCAGGAATAATAGCAACAAAAACTTGATGAAGACCTTTAGTTATAACATTTAGTTATAAACATTAATTTTAAATGCCCTTTTTTTTATCTTGAAAAAGGAAGGCACTGCTTTAAGGAAGCTCATTTTTCCCCTATAAGTTGGTCTTTAGACTGATTATGCTTGAGAAATCAATTGTACATTCTGGATTAGATGATCCTTTGCGTCTCTTGTTCAGCACTAGATGTTCCACAGCAAAATTGTGCATTTAATACTTAGAAGGGGCAGATCTGTATGCCTTAATCTGATCAACTCAAAATAATGTTTCTAATATGTTGGTTGCTGCACAAGAAGTATCTCTTGATAATTTTCATGGAAAAGCACAAAATTTCCAAGACTCATCTGCGTACATGTGGTGGGTTCTGTGTGAGGAAGATTGATACAGAATTTCAGTGAAGAGAGACCTACCTGGATCATAATTGAGTGATTTATTTTTGTTATTCAGTTATAGTACCATTCCATGTAGCTTGCTCTGAAAGCAATGCTTCCAACTTACTTCCATGGAAACTACAACAGAGAGAAAGAGCACAATAACACTATTTGATAGAGCAAATTCTTTGATACAGCACACTACTTCTCATCATGGTCACCACCATTAGCTAAGCATTTTTGCCAACAATGAACAAGAGCCCACATGCCACACTTGTAAACATCTGCATGGCTGAGGAGAATGTGGCTTTTCTTTCACATCACTGTTGCCACAGCCAAAAGGCACTACTCACGACCTCACTGTGTTCACATACCTTCAGCATGTGTTGATGCATATCAGTGGGTGCCATTTTTTCCTCATGGAGGAAACAAATGACACACCTTTGTTTCATCTGCACTTCTATGTCAGACACTGTTTTGTCAGACTGCCCCTCAGCTGCCATTCGTTGCACAGTAACAAAATCTAACAGGATATGAATGGGAAGGCTCAATCTCTACTGCCACTCCACCAACATCACCGTCTGACAACGAGGACCACATAATAAAATGGGAGGTATTACTTTTGGAGCAGCCCTGGTAATACATTTTACTGTCAGTTTTCCTGTTATTGTTATAAATGACCAATATTTCCCAAGAATACTCTAAGTAATATTTCCTGGCAATGAGCTTCACATATTATTTCATTATTGTGTAAGGTGCGGTTCCTCTTACGAGTTTAAAATTGCAATTTTAAATTTGAACGTTCACTTGATTTTACTTTTTTCCATGCTTTTTATTATTTCAGCAATTCCATTCCTCTAAACATAACTGAAGTGTTTTTTGTTGTTGTTTGTTTGTTTCTTTGTCTGTGTGCAGTAATACAGAATACTACAGATAATTTTGTCTCCCGTTTGTATTTTCATCTGATTAATCCAAAGGGGACACAGAGTACAAAGTGAAAACTGATGATGTTATCAAACTATTCTATGCACTGTTGACAAACTACTGTTTCTCTGGTTCTTCATGTGAACTAAACTCTACTTGCATGGCTGTTACCGGGCACCAAACAGCTGTTTTCTTACACCTGTCCCAATATACATTAAATTTTACTCTAGACAAGCTCTGTTATGCCAAGTAGATTGCATCTGAGAAGTGAGGGCTTTATTAAACCAATCCAAAAGGGTCAGTGAAGATCTAAAATAGTGCCGTCCTCCTCTGTAATTATCACGAGGTACTATTCAATGAGTCTAGTCCAAGAAGATTATAAAATTTTCACAGTAGTGTAGGATGATGACATTGAGCTTTCTCTTCAGAGCCCTAGAGTGACGATTCAGTGACATTAAGATCCCAGGGTCTTCATCTCATCAGATAAAGGTTTAAAAAGTAAGTAGAATTCCCTGCAAGTGAGTGAACTTCAATACCAAGCACAGCACAAGTCGCCACTCACATTGTCTATGCACCCAGGTGCCATAGGAGAACCAAGAAGAAGTGAATATGGATATGTCACGCCCAGCAAGAAATTCTTTTTCTTCTTATCCAGCAATAAACAACCTACGGCAGCTTCCCTAAGAACAGGAGAAATATAAGAACAAAGGAGTAAGAGATTTCCACTATATGAGTAGAGAAAAGCCCTCCTGTTCTTGGGAGATAAAGAAATTGTTGACCATACGCCTTAAGACCTGCTGATTACTGATTTGAACTGAAGATGGCTCTCCTCTCCCACATTGATTACACATTGCAGGGAAGATAAAATGAAGGAAATTTTAAGACTGACACAGAAATAAAAAGTTACGGGCATTCCCTTGCCCACAAAACTCATGTTACTACAATCTGTCTATTCTGTGTTTGCCAAGCAAAAGCTGCTGCTTTGCCATGTTAGATGGGATAAATATTTTCCACACTGAGATAGTTAATTTAGGTGTCAGCAACAGAGGTGATTATTCTGACTTACGCTTTCATTACGTTTTGAGCATTGATTTCAACTGCTGTCTCTCAGCAAGACCCAGAACAATGAAGACGTTCTGACTTTGATCTTTATTCGCAAAGAAATCACTCAACGTTCACATTTGAACTTGTTAAGTTTTTATGATTAACATTTAACTAGTGAATAAAAAGGAGAACAAGCTCCCTAGAATTCAGAAAGTATCAGCCCACTTTCCTTAAGACATCTGTGAAGTAAGGTCAGTTTTCACTTTCAGACACACTGCTGTGGATTTAAAGTCTTTTTAGTGAGCCTTGTGGATCTTCTTCCAATTTGGCTGCCCAGTCAGAAGCTATGAAAACAAATTGCTTTCAAGCAATTGAATAACTTCCAATATCAGTCTCTATGTGTAGATATAAACTGAGCTTTGCACCTATTTCTGCAGATTCCTGGGGAAGAATCTTATTCAAAGGATATTTGGCAATTTCGATTCCAATCCTCTTTACTTTCTGTTGTGCAGTCACAGCAAACCAAGGTATTAACCACTTACTCACAGAAAATATTTTAGAACTGGTATTAGATCTGATACACTTTATAGTAGCTAATTCAGATTGTATTATTCTTTCCATAATTCAACAACTATTTCCTTAGTTCTTTCCTTTCATTTTTATTCTCTCCCTGTTTTCATTTTGTCTCTGCTCTGTTTTGCTGCCCTCTTTTCAGTTTTTCCACACACGCTGTATTTCACATTCTCTTTTATTTCCTCCATCTTTTCCCTTCTTTTTTCCCCCATTTCACTCCTTCCATTTCCTTCACCATTTCTCTTGCTTTCTTTGTTAATTCACTTCTTTCACCCTATCAATCTATTGATTGACAAATTAACCGATAGCTTTGAAAGGGTTCTTGTTAGGTGATTTTACTACCACAAGACCATTCAAATGTACAAGAAGCATGTTCATTTTCAATCCATTAAATCATCGCTGGGCTTCTGAAACTGACCATGTACAGTGATAATATTTTGCTTTGCTTCTTCAGAGATATAAGTTTACCAGGCACAATTCCTATATATCAGAATAATACCGTGAAAACTGCAGTACATATCCTGCACTGCTCAAATTAGAGTCTGCTGCCAGATTGTTTGAAAGAGTATACAGGAATGCACACAGCTGTGGCAGTCTCTCACTAAATGAATAATGCAATAGCAACATCTGTAGGATTCTTGAAATGCTAAACGTTCAGATATGAAGTCTCTGCCGAGGACACAGATGGTAATGATGTTATTCTTACAGTGGTTCCCACTAGAAAGAGAAAGAGTTCCATAATCAGACTGGACTGTTAATGCGTGAAACAATATTTTCATTCAGCAGCAAAAGCTCTCAATGCATAAATGCTTGCTTTGTGGGTTGCGTTTGATTCTAAGTTTTGTTAAGCTAAAGAAATCCAGTAATGAATACAGACATCTTCAAGCATGAATACAGATGCCAGCACCAGTTGATAGCACCCAGCAGGTGAATTTAAACTGACAATCCAAGTTAAGGTAGAATAATTAAAATGAATTTTCCATCAAGTGAAAAAAGTGTAAGTCTTCTGTTTACCTCAACAAAACACAAAGAGCCAGGAAAATTTACCCTACAGGCACAGCAGTGTTATTTACAGGACAATATGTACTGCTTGAAGAATATCAGTACACACTGCCTACTGAAAGACAAGAAAAAGAAACAAAATAACCTCTGAATTCAAGCAAACAAATATCATTCACCATTCAAATACCATATCGTTCATCAAGTGTTTTAGAGCACTGACATCTTATAAGTTATTCTTTGTCCTTTTCTTTTTTTGTTTTTTCTTTTGTTTCTATAAAAACTGTGTTCCAAAGACAAGCAAATGTAAAACTGTACTAAAAGTACTTTTGGTTAAATTAGATGATGACCCTGCAGTCAGAATAAAGCTAAAAGTACTGGCTGAAAAGCCAGTCCAGTGTACAATTAGGCAGTGTTGAGAGGCAGAGGAATTATAAGAGGCTAATAATGAGAGAAATAACTGTAAGTTACAAGCTTCAGAGAGAAGGCATGATGTCACCAATCAGCTCGTCTGGACAGCTGTAGCCTGAACACTTGATCCCAGACACAACTTATCTTCTTAGCTGGGATAGGCTCTCCAGAAAGATCAAGGATTATTTCCTTTGTGCATTGACACAGCTGAGACAAGCATATCAGAAATTTTAAAAACTGTACCCAACCGAAGAAGAATATTTGAAAGGCTTAAAAAACAGGGGAAAATGTCAAGATGCTAAATCAGAAATTCCAGGAAGACTGGGTAGGCAAAGAAGGAACAGGATCCATCATTTTCTAAAATTGTTCCTAATTAACCCTACATATAACTTAATACATTACAATAACAGTCCTTGTTTGATTTATTTTTTAAGACCAGACCAGAACTACAGCCAAAAGAAATCTGATTCAAACACCAGTTAACTTCCCTTTCTAAATGCAGGAAACATGTTCTTCAGGCCCATCTCTGTGAGCCTCAGAATTCATAACAAGTTGATTTCTCTGGGAAGGGAGAAATCATTTATATTCCTGCTAGTGCTCTGTAGAAAAGTCCGAAATGGATAGTCTTGCATCATCTACACTACTGTCCTTAGGAACTGCTAAACAACTCATGCTTTTATCACGTCCAAACTACTTACCTTGTTATCCATGTCCTGTGAAGATGGAGAGCCACATAGCTATGCTGCTTTCTGATGGAGATCTTAGGAAAATTGGATTCCTGTTTTCCTTTTGGATACATCTCCTTGGGTTTGGTATTTTCAAATGTTTGAGCTGCTACTCAATAGAAGATTGTCTTTCCTCTGGAATTGTTGAAGCCACCTAAGAAAAGCTTGCAGAGGATACGCTTTTATTCCACATTCCTATTCCTGGAAATCAGATTTTGAAGAAGAGTAATTGCTATTAGAAACACCTGGGGATGGGAGGTGGAAAGGAAGGAAGAAAAAAAAGAAAGCAATAAAGATAGATAACAGCAGCACAAGTGCTTCCTAAAGTTAAATAATTCTACAGTGTTTAGGAGTAGAAGGTCTGCTGATATGGGACCATCAAATGAGTTCAGTTAATCACCTCACCTTATGGGATATGGAACTAAAAAAAAAAACTCAGATACAGATTTAAGAGTGGGAAAGTTGGTGTAAAACAAAGTCTCTAAGGCCTTTTCCAGAAAAAAAAAAAAAAAAGTCTGCTGCTTTTCCCACAGGAGAAAGAGAAGCATTTATAGACAACAGAGACAGGCTGTGAAATCAGGGGTCACAGCTGAAGCTGTGATAGCCAGGACTAAAACCCAATGAGGGCCATCCTTAGGTAGAGAGGTACAACTCAGAAGGTCTATGCTGTAAACTGAAGAACTTCTTTTACTGAAGTAGCCAAAAGGGGTTGGAAACACGTGCAAAAATACTGTGTATAGTGCTAGCCAAAAGTAATAAAAAGGTTTCAGGAAAAAAAATAAAAGGCAGCTCTAAGATTCATATTTCTACACAGAAAAAAACAACAAACCCAAACCTTCAAGAACTGATGAATGTACATCTTGATGCACAAAACATTAGTATTTTGCACATGTTGGAATACGAGCTTCAAACTGAGCCACAGAAGGCCTTAGTGACTTGCCCAAGGTCAAAATATAAAGCCGGTGTAGGGCTCTTTGATTATGATTTGCTTTCTAACGTAGATAAAGCTCTCCTGCTGAGGGAACTGAAACACTTTTCAGGCATACAAGAGCTCCATCTAACTAATTTACTATTCATATATACTTTAAAGAATCTGATCCCAGTAGATGTTTGTTCACATCACAAAGCTACTACATATTTTGAAGTAATCTGTTAGAGTTGGAAGGCTCTGTGGAGGAAAGGCACAGAAGTCCAGAACTGAAATAGGAGACACGTTACAAAGCAGGATCAAAAGATTCACTGACAGATGCAGTCAGGAGGCGGAGATGGTGTTTCTGTGCTCTGCTAATAGCTTTAATACAGGCTATCTTGTGGTAATAACCAGATCTAGTGTTTTATCAAAGGCTTAATAATGGCACTAAGATGGTAATATGATTTCTACTCTCTTGTGAAACTTCCACAATTGCTGAGTGTTCTATTTTACCTTTCCTCTTATTCATTTTCTCTATATCTCCTTCTATTGCTCTGTTTCTTAAATAACAAATTGTTTGTATCTACACAGGCTATACGTATCCACACATCTGGATGTTTGTTAAAATAGACCAGTAAGAACCTCACTTTTTGTTAATTGCAGCTTCCTGCAAAAATACCAGCCCAATCTAGAATCGGTCTTTTTTTTTCCTGATTTGCTGCCAAAGGATTAGACACCACTTTCTGCTGCACCTTTGCTGCCTAATTAAATGAAGAGAATATAAGTATTTCCTGCGACTCCTTGATGCCAAACCATCAAGAAACTGTAGTGCTCAGGCAGTTTCAGAATATCTTCACCTGTATACACATCTACATATACATATGTAAGTTTCTTTCTGTTTCAACAGACAAAGCAGTTCCCTAGCTGAGGAAGCTGATCCTTAACAGTCCCTGATACTACAGAATACAGATACAAAGCCAAAAAACATATGACCTGTCCTAATCATAATGAATCAGAATCTCTCCAAACATTAGGAGAATTTCAGCATGTTGAGGAATCTCATAGGGAGAGAACAAAATGTGCTAGAAAACCTTAAATTATGTAAAATACTGAGAAGTATTATATGAGGCATTTTAAATAAGGGCAGAATAAAGGCTAAACACTTCTGAACTGCCTCAGAAAAATTAATCCTTCTTAATTCATGCACTGTTACTAGACTCAAACATTAAAATGCTGCCTGCCTTTAGGGTGATGTAGTTAATAATTATTCACTTGTTTTAATTTGTATTTTATGTAAGATGCATTTTTATGCCTCTCCAGTTATGGTGGCATCCAAGAATTAGAAACAAGCATATATTAATCTCTCTGTTACCACCAACTGTCTTCAGCTAATGAACTACAGGACCTTCCATGATTTTCAATTGAAGTTCTGAATAACACAATACATCTAATAGAAATCTTACAAAATCTGAACTTTTCAAGTATACCTTATTAGTGACACCTAAAGGCCACATTAACCATAGAGTGATAATAAAAGCTGCAGTTTTTGTGTCTATGACTGGGTGCCCCACCACTAGGTAAAATCCTCTCAGCACCATTTCAGCTGTAGCTAGTGTGCTGATGCTGGCATCAAAAAAGTCACGTTCAGTTTTTATGTGCTGGTTCTCTGAATAATCCTGTGAAAGAAAACTGTATTTTGTATATGTGTTCTCTGTCTCACAGAGATGGAGTCAGAGAGTCGGTTATAATGGGAGAAATGTTAAAGTCATTTCTATCAACCTTGTTACAATATTCAGAGATCACATTCCTTGGTAGGATTCACCCTTGAAAACAGCTTTCAACTTTCTCCAACTTGGACTTAGAAATGATATTTTGGGTACAGACCAACAGAACAAAAGAGAATCTGGGAGGGAAAAAACAAAGAAACAAACCAGAACAAAGCAAAAACAAACTAGCGTATTTCTGGGATCAAATGACTATAACAGAACCTTTTGTAGCAATGGAGCTTTTCCATTTCCTGAATAAGCATGCAGTGATATCATCAAAGAACTTTTAACATCAGTGCATTTCTGAGTCCAGCAGGCTTTTTCTCACAGACATGCATGCTACCATGAAGGCACCTGGAGAAAGGATCTAGAATTTATAAACCTCTTGAGCAGTTATGCTTCTTAATGTAATACAAGAGGAAAAGTTCCCAGCTATGACCCACAGAAGAATAAGCAAGGATTTCTCCTAGGGAAAATTAAAAAAAAAAAAGAAAAAAGAAAAAAAGAACTCTCATTAAAAACTAATTCAGAGCTCATGGAAAGCATGATATCAAGAAAACAAAAAAGAAAAAATTGGAAATTCAAACACATTTCCGACAGGTAGAAGTTACCGAAAAATATATTTTAGGTGTAATTTCTGACCATATCGGCCCACAGAGATTATGGCAAAGTTTCAGCTCCCAGACTGTTGGCTCCTAAGCAGATGGAGACTGAGAAATAAAAATCAATACCACCATTACCTTAGAAATGACCAGTAATTTTCATGCTGTTGGCTACATGTTGTATGGAAACAGAAGTCGTTCTATTTGCCAATGTTTAGTGAATACCAGTTATCAGTATGTAATGTAAATTTTTGTATGCATGCAATGCTGTGTATGACACGTTACTGACTGAAGTCCTGAAATGTGTTCCTGACTTAGTTGCAGTGGGAGACCGAAATAAATATGTAATAGTGCCTAGAAAACAAGATTCAAATATACAGTAGAGAAGTATGAGTATACAGTCCTGATTTTGAAAAAATATCAGTTAAGTTTATTATTGCTTTTAAAGTTCTATGACTTTACTTTGGTAAAGCTGCTGTATGACTACATGTAGAATGATATTTCTGTCATAATCTTTTGTGGGTTATGAATACTCATGTTAAAGAAATGAGGAAAATACTTATAAATATTTAGGCTTGAGAGATACGTGAGGTGCATCTCTAGATTAAGCATTTTTACAAGAAAGCATTTAAAATCTTACAAATACATGTAATACACCTAAATACACAAATACACTTGAATAGGGGTTTATTCATAAAATATGATGAAATATTTGGTCCCTTTCCTAAAATATTAACATAATTCTTGAAAAAAATACAATATTTCTTAGAATATTATATAAAAATTAATTCATTTGTATAATACTTTTCAATTACATATGTTTCATAAATAAAAGACAATAGTATTCTTTTATTTATTAGAGCTGATCCAAAATTAATGCCTCCCATTTTATTATGTGCGCCTACAACATCAGACATGGATGTTGACAGTATTTCAGTAGAGGCTGAACCTTCCTGCCAATATTCCATTTCTTTTTGTTGCCATATGACTGATGACAGCAGAGGGGCATTCTGACAAAATTGCATCTGACATGGAAGTGTGTATGAAGCAAAGGTGTGAACTGAATTCCTCCATGCAGGAAAAATAAACCCACTGATATTTATCAATGCTTGCTGAACATGCACGGAGACCAAACAGTGGATGTGAGTACAATGAGACAGTGGTTGATGCATTTTAACAATTGTATCAGGAGCATGAAAGATAAGCTACATTCCAGATTTTTATCTAGAGAAGTCACACCAGAAAATGGAGAGCATCTCAACCAGTTCATCTGCACAAATCAGCTAATAATGGTGACCACGATGAAAAGTAGTGTTTTGTTGCTGAGAATTTGTTCTATCAAATAGTGCTATTGTGTTCTTTGTATCTGTTACACTTTCCATAAATAGGAAGCATTACTTCCAGAGCAATTTACATAGAATCGTACCATAACTTAAGAGTAATAATAAGTTGCTAAATTGGGAGCCATACAGGTCTCTCCATGGTGAAATTCTGTATCAATCTTCCTTACAAAGAACCCACCACATGTAAGGAGAAGAGTCCTGGAAATTAAATACATCATGCCATAAGGAGGAAATAAAAACAAACGGTTCCACAGCAAAATAACTTTAAAGCCAGATTTCACAGTGTTTCAGTTTCTCATACACTTTTTATATACCCATTGTCACATAGTTGCAATCCTAAATCATGTGAATCTAAATCCACTTTTCTCCTTAAAAGTTGCAGAAACTTTGCTACTGCTGATTTGATTTTGAAGGGTACATATGTATATGTATTCATCTACCCAGTGCTAAACTAGAAAGATTAAGGTAAAGACTTAATTACTGAGAAACTGATACATGTGAAAAATATTTTCATTTGTAAATTCTAACCATATAAATGGTTTTTGATTCCACTTCCACTTTCTTAACTTATCCAGAACCTCTTAAAACTTTACTCCCTGTTATCTTAGCTTATTCTGATGAGCTAAGTTCCCCACGTCCCAGGTCTAGTTTATCTAATCTAAGATACTGCGCCCAATTAATTCTCATTTATTTTGTGGCAGGATTTATTAGCAGAGGCATACTGACACAATTAACTTAATGCCTGGCCAACTCAGAATTCTGGCACAAAATACTTTTAACTCCTTTCAGAATGTTATACAGATACTCTGTTGGTTTCCTAGATTCTTGCCACAATACCCTCTCTACTGTGGTTTCTTATCTCTAGTTCTCCCACACACCTATTTTCCAAGCAGATCTAGTTCTTATTCCCTTGGTACATGTGTCAGGCAGCTTTCCTCTCCTTTTCCCTTTCAGCCAGGAGCAGCTGACAACATTTTCAGTAGAAGAAATGAGACATACAATGGCTAGAAAACATTTCATGGATCAATCATGATAAAAAAAAAAAACACATTAAAAGTCTGCATTTAGCAGCCTGAACCTGGATAAATGGGGTCAAATTTTCAACAGAAGGCAAAGGGCACAGCCATGATGCAGCAGCCTCTCTTTGCCAAAATGGTCACTTACTTAACAATCAGAATTGATTACTTTAAATTCAAACTGGTAAATATTTTTTCTATGCTGATGAATGAATACTTTCAGAATTTTCCCAATTCATGTCAAGTAATTACATCTGAGCAAAATTTGAAGCATCTGAAAATTAGATTCTGTAGGTTAACCATCCAGTAACACAAATATCTTATGTCCAAAAAAGTTGATATTGAAAACCTTCTTGCACCGACAACATCAAAACAAACATGTTCTTATGTTCTGCAGCTATTAATTTCTATACAAAATGAACAATAATTTTCCATTACAGAGGGCAGATGTGCTAAGGGTGAGCATGCTGTTTACATTTCTGCACAGTGCTATTTCATCAAGACATCAAACGCTTGGCCCAAAGACAAAAAAAGACATCAGTTGTCACAACTCTCCATAGAAGAATAGCAACATTACTGAAAATGTTAGTGATCTACAGTTTATTTTATCTTCTTGTACTCAGACAGACAGGCATTAAAAAAGAGGTCTCAAATCTGAGGTCACACAGGAGCAATAAAGCAAGTGTTTAAAACCTGCTCTGTGATTGTATTTCAGGTATTATCTATTATTTCAGAGGAACAAAAGAGGACACCAGTTCCTTGTCTGCTCCTTCATGTCACAGATAACACTTCAAGAAATTGTGTCAGGGTAGCTGTGATGATAGATTTTGAATCTATCTAATACAGAAGCTGTTTCACCACGAGACAGACGTAGGTCATCAACCTGTGACTGACACAAACCTGCTCAGGGATGTTAATGCAGGGAACTAACCAAACAATTTTCTGATGTTTTTTAGAGATAATAAGTTTCTACAAGAAGGTTACAAGTCATCTTGAAAGCTGTCAAACTTTCAAAGTTCATATGAATATAAAACTACCACGTGTGCTCTCTCACAACACCTTCAAATAAAATCAGAGCATAACAAGACTACCCACCTCAATTAAGCCAGAAAATTGCATCAAAACTTACCAAAGATAGAGCTGTATTTTGAAACAGTACAGTTTGATCCTGGAATAAAGCAAACAAACAGACAAATAAAATTATATTTTTGTATAAAGACTATATTATATAAAAGCCTAAGACTAAAACTGGACAAGCATTGTCTTCCTGTCCAATATTTTTTCCAAGCTGCTATTTTCTTGTAATTCTTTTACCCTGTAAAAGAATAAAATTTAACTACTGAATTCTCAAATATTTTCCAGGAAATTATAATGTAAATACAAATCGAAGTGATTCTAAGTGCTTCAAATAAAAATCACAAGCATCATCATATTCTTAATACTGGCATGCCTTTTATAACAGTCCCCAAAATTCAGACATAAATGTAATCAGCAGCTTTGCACCCTTGGCACAATGGATTTACACATTAATAGCAATGTTTACTGTTTCAGAAAAAAAAAACAACCTCAGGTCTTGTCTAAGATTGCAGAGATAGGCACCAGCAGCTATCTACCTATGGTACAATTTGGTCTCTCTCAAATAAAAACATACCAAAATCAGTATACACAACACTGAAATGAAGAACTTGAATACAACACTTAGAGTAGTTGGAGTAAAATGCATATGACAGAGCTGAATAGGTCATTTTAAAAGTAAATAGTGCTTTTTTTATCAGTATAAAATAATTGCTTCGGACTGGTGGATGTCTTCAAGAAATAGAAGTAACTAAAGCTTAAGAAAAACACTTTTTCAGTACACTAATGCATTCAAAACCGATATGCTTCCTGGATACTATCTTAATGTCACATATAATGCAATGAATAGAAGACTATCATTTAATTTCAATGGACAAGTAATCAGGCCCAAGATATCCTTTGCTGTAGTGAGCATCACTAATTAATTTCAATGAAGGAAACTTTCACAGGTTGATGTTAGATACTGTTCTGGAAATTGGTTGGGGACAAGTTACTCACACAGCATGTGGTAACATTTCCCCCAAGGAAGGAAGAAAACATCTCCAGCAGCATAAGGCACAAGCATCCCAAGGTAACACTTGCATCCTAGTTTCCTCTGCATTAATGTTATCAGGATTTCTAGAAGATTATTTTTCTTTATCTTTAAATGAACAAGGTATAAGATGTAGCATTAAGTCTTCCACTTCAGATGCAGCATTAAGTCTTCTATGTTGGACTTGATCTTGTATAAACTTGAAAGTCCTGAGTAAAGCAGAGCCAAAGAGTTCAGAAAGCATTATTGTCAAAATGATACAGAAAACTTCTGTCTCAAAACAGCTATTTTTCTTGTCTTTGTTCTGCATGAGTCACTGCTTTAAGATCACAATGGATATAAAATAATTTTTTTCTTTTTATTAAGGCTTCTGATAAGAGGGTTTTCTTTTTCTTTATTTGCTAGATATGTTTGATTTATGAGATGTATTGCTGATTCTGGTTGTGAGGGACCGTATAAACAAGGCCTGTATACACAAGGTCAATTTCCTACCTTTTCCATGTTTTTCTTTCATGAAAACCCAATAAGTAACACCTAAGTAAAAATATTAAACATTATTGAATTGCAGAATAAAGTTCCTTCTCTTTGATATCGTGGAAAATGTAGAAAATGTTATCTAGAAGGTAAAATTGCAAACATGGACCACTCAAATGTTCTATAAGATACACCTTTGAGAAATAAATAAGCCTCCATGATTTTCTTGGAAGTATGTTCTGTGTCACGATCAGGCAGTACTGATGCTTTCACACACTCTTGGGCTCTTGCCCTCAGCCATCCAAGCATTAATCCTCATCAATGCCAAAAGCCCCTACTCTGCTTCCAGTTGGTCTGGTCTTTTATCTCTTCAGGTCTGGCCTCTAAAAACATAACTGAGCTAGAGGTTTCCTTCACTGTTGTTGGGATTTACCTGGTGAAATTTCAGAAATGCCCTGTATGACAATGAGATTACATCAGGTGCCATTCTAAAAAAAGTCGCTTATTGTTCTCATCATCTTATGTAGATTTCTTCTAATTTCATCCATTTCCTTTGGTAAACCTGTCACAAACTGTCCTACTTCAAGGAGGCAAGAAACATTCATTGGACAGAAGACTACTCATCCAGCTAAGGATATACATCACAAATATGGCGCAGTGTTAAACCAGCCTGAAAAAGTGATTTATTTCCCATCAGTTCAGGGAAGCTTGGAATAATGAGCCTCCACATATGGGCACAACGATTCGGTATCTACATGCAAGTAGTAATGCTACACCTGTTTCCTTCCTCTTCCATATGCCTTACTGTGTAGCTCATAAGACAGTTGAATTTAGGGAGAGTTGCTTCACATATTTCAGCTTTAATTCTTTTATTTTTTCTTTAATTTAATAGGCTTTAACTCTATGTTTTATGAATGACTAAGATAAAACCTCCAGATCAAAGTCTGCTTTCTTGCCTGCCTCATCTTTTCTCACTATCTCTGTAGCTATTCATAAACATAAACTTGTTATTAGTAGCATAGTACTGGCTCTCTGACATCCATGACAAAACTGATCTGGGCTGAAATTCAACATTGTTGTGGAACACAAGAGTGCTGAACTCCCATGGAAATCTCAACCATGCGTCTCGCTCAAATTTAACAGAGGAAGAGGAGGTTCTTTTAATATATGTATACCTGATGTGAGATTAAGAAATAACGGTTCAAATGTTGGTCCGACCAGTTTATAACAAATCTTAATCAGGGAGATGGGGGAGGGGAGGATGTACACTATTATGAATTAGGGTGGTGGGGAAGGGAAAGCAGCAATAGGAAAGAAGCAAGAATTACTTAAAGCATGGATAGTCAACCACTAGGACCCAGAGGCATGTCATTGCTAAAGTGCAGGGGGAGAGCAGCAGCAACGTTACTGGCCTCAGGCAGCAAGCAGGTAGAGCGCAGAGCAAGCCTAGGAGGGAGAGAAGCAGGTCTTGAGGCTTCTCATGTCAGAGATCTCTCCTCATGGTTGTTGGCCCTTTTTTTATCCTTTCTTTTCTGCCAGCGTGGAGTTCCCGGGTGCTTAGGTAAGAGCCATGCACAGTACTGAGTTCTGAGATGGCTATCTCCCTCAAGATGAGTCCACACTAAATCACAGAATTGCAGAATGGCCAGGGTTGGAAGGGACCCCAAAGATCATGTATGTCTGACCCCCCTGCCACATGCAGGGCCACGACCCTCCACATTTAATACTAGATCATGCTGCCCAGGGCCCCATCCAACCTGGGCTTGAACACCTCCAGTTGTCCACAGCCTGTCTGGACAGCTGTTCCAGCACCTCACCACTCTCTCTGTTAAGAACTTATATATCTGCTGGAAAGACCACAAGAGGTCCGGGAGGCTCCTGAAATCCAAATATATAGCTATATATTCAAAGCCTCTCACAGATGGCAGATTCAAGTCAGTATCAATCACAGGAAAACACATAACTACTACAAGTACACAAATATAACTATTACAAGTGCTAACACTCTGAACTCAAGGAAGTACTCACCAGCATCCTTTAATATGTCTTCCATGCTGCTCACATCAGGCTCTGAAGTACCTCAGGAAACACCTACAGAACTGAAAATTGCAGTTGTTTCCAGTGAGAGCCTTGTGCTGGTTTTATATGAAGTATTTATAGGAAAATATTGAACTGTATTTCACTGCGACTCGGTAAATAAGGCATGTTGTGCTCAGTGCTTTTGGGCAATAATTAAAGATTTAAGGCATTTAATGGAAGTGTCATTGTTTAATTAAAACCAACAAAAATCTTCCCACATTAAAATATTTGCTTGTTGTCACTCAGACTTTGTTCTAGATATGCTATAGGATTTTTGTGGCTAATCTTACTTAAAGCAAGCAGTAAGCAAATTTTCCCTGGATGAAAGCTTTAAAAAATCATATTGCCTTAATCTTTACGCTGTTAAGAATTTTAATATGAATTTATTCTTCAAATGTGCGGTCCCATATGCATTATTTAATTTCATTAGAGATAATGGGCAAATTGATACTCACTACACTTTCATATCACTTGTGTTTCTTTGTTGGAATTGTGGAGCTATAATCTGGTTATTATCAGATAGAGCATTACAGGCTGCCTCAGTCTTTAAGAATGGCTTTTAGGTAGTTCTCTCCAGCAGTTCTTTGGTCTATAAAACCTGCGCCAACCGTTAGTACCTTTGAAACAGTGCAAAGTGAACTTCTTCCTCCTTGTCCCCCCCAGGCAATTGATTCGATGAGTAACATTGATTGGTGAATTAACCTTGCAGAGGCCTCACTTTTATCACGTACTGGGTATCCACATACTCAGAAAAGCAAAAGAGACAAAATGCCCTGAAGGAAAGAAAAACCCAGAAACCATATGTACTGTCTCAGTGAGAAACATTAAGTGGGATTTTGTCATGACCCAAGTTCAAAGGAATAGTTTGTGCCTATGAGATCCTCAAGTGTTGTATTCTCAGTTTGTGAATACCAAAAAGATGTGGAAATACATTCTAGATTACTCTACACAGACTCTAATTTAAAAACTAGAATATCTATCTTTTTGCCTACTAACTGGCATCAGTGTAACTACTCCAGTGAAGTTCTTCATCAAATTCTTCTGAATCCAAGTCAGAGATTTCCCTGATGTTTAAATACCCTATCATTGATTTCCTGTTCTCTATTACTTTTATTCTGACATTCAAAGAAGTTTAATTAATTTGCAGGTTAGGCTTTTACGTAACCGTGACCGCAAGCTCAATCGAATTTTCAGGGTTTATATATATTGCATTTTAATTTCAGCCCATAAAAGACGAAGGGATTTTGGTACCAAATGGTTTGGCTGATCCTAGATTACTGTATTCCATTTTCCACTGTAAACGGTGGTACACATATACAAGTTTTCATTAATTTATTTTTGCTTCTTAGTATCCTCATAGGCTTCCCCTTTGATATCTTTAAGAAGCCTTTGATCTGTTTTGCACCTTAGAATACTTAATATTTTTGAGTTGATATAATCACTTTTGGTGAGTTCTTTTGATGTCTTCATTGTATTTATTGGTTTGCTATATCTCTTTATTTTTTCTTTCAAAGAGCTCTCTTTGTTCAGAGACAGACATTAGTTTCCCAGTGTTATTTTCCTGGCACGTTAATCTGTAAGAGGTTTGCATCCTTTATGTTTTTAATTTGAGGGGCTTTTAGGCTGTGCCATTCACAATGCTTACCTTCATTCTGTGGCATGCTTTACTGCTAAATAAAAAAAAAAAAGGATTCTCTTGTATTTGGTGGCCATTGCTTCTGGAGACAGCTCCTGCTTCTATGAAGTTTAAACAAAGAACAACACCTTCTCAGAACAGCGGATCAAGAGCAACTTGAAAAGTTAATAAAACGTCTCTCTGTTTTGTTGTATTGTGCTGTTGATGAGCTGCTATGTAGCCTGTTGAATTCTATTACGTTTTGCCAATGTTTTCTGCCCCAAAATGTTACTCAGAACAATGTAATTCACGCCTGTTTTAGGAGTCTGAGGCAAAATACAACACAGATTACTGAAGGCAGCAAGCTGGCTATCCAACCTGTCTTCATACTGCAAAGTGTATAGTCAGACAGAAGCTCTGAGGTACTGTAGCTTATTCTCAGGATTTTTAACTAGAAACAGTTATATGAATACTTTCAAGAACACTATCACTCTCTGAACCATTTGGTCTTTGTTCTGTAGCTTGTAACATTTCTGATTATGACTAGAACACCTCTCTGGGAACTGAAGTTTGTTTGGCTTTGTTGTTGTTTGCAGTTTTTGAAGTACATCAGAGCCATTATCCAGACTGAAACCAGACAACACATAAATCATACACTAATCTCAGAAGTTGTCTTCACTTTAAAGTTCATTACATAGCAGATTGTAGTCATTTAAATGTATCAACAAATACAACTGCTAATGGAGTGGTACATAACACTGTTGCCCCTATTAGGCTTATAGATGACATTCTTCTCCAGCACTACAGTTTATCCAGAGTAAAGAAATCCCCAGCTGATATATTCATATAGTATTAAGGTCTATTTTTATGAGCAGCTCAAAAGGGATTTAGGACAACACCGGATCTATACTCATTCACAGCTAGTAATTCATATTCTCATCTCACTGATGGTACTGTAACAGAGAAAATCATAGCAATTATTAGGGCTAAATTATTGAGCGTCTGCCTGCAGTTGACCTGAGCTCCTGGAGTCAAGAGACTGGAAGAAAATTCCAGCTTTAACGTTAAGGAAATTTTAGTTTTTTATCCCTCACGATTGTCAACAGCAAGGGCAAAATAGCACTCCCAAACATCATAAGTCACAAAATAAAATAAAACCTAAAGTGAATTAATAGTTTTAAGATGTGAACATTTTCAGGACAATTATACTTTTAGGAGACAACGAAAGAATGATTTACGGAAATAAAATCTACCAGGACACAGAAAGATGCTTTCTGGTCTCATCTTTTGAAATGATGCTGCTAGTCAAGGTTCATGCTTTCTTAGCTTCTCATGCAGTTCATACTATGGGAGGAACTGACCTTCTGGCAGCTCTCGTCGTGACTCACAGAGCAACAGAGACACCTTCTTCCAGAATTTTCAGGATGGTCCAAACTCAGATTTTAACCCCAGGAAAATTTTTGCCATTTTTGTAAAGACAAACAAACAAAGGAACAAAAACAACACCAAATAGCTTCCCACAATCCTCAAACAAAATCTGAGTGCTACTTTGAGTAAGCTATATGTTCACCTTTCAGGAGAGCATGTTCACACATCCCCACCCACCTTGTGAGGTTCATGCGAATGCTTGGGCATTACCTGTATGTGCTTCTTTCCAGGTAAAAAAAGGATCTTCACTTTACATATATGTCACTCAGCTAAACCTCTTTGATAATTTCAAGATCTCTGTAAATGTAAAGATGAGATCTGTGGAGAAAAAAAAAAAAAAGGATAGGCTTGAAGTTGTGTACAACTTTAGGAACTTTCGATAAAATAAAGGTTGCAAAGATTAATTATTTGGCTGTATCCCAGAATTTTCTTAAATATCATTAAGAACATTTAGCTACTGTATTAGCGCTGATTTTTAGAAAAGCATCATCTTGGAGCAAGTAAATAGAGAGAAGTAACATCAAGATGAAATTACCAACAAAGAATTTCTAATTTCACTGAAGTAAGCCCAACAGACGCTGCAATGTAATTTCTTGCTAATGAATGCATTATTAGAACTTTGCCACAAAAGAGCCCTCTGAATTTTAAACTCTCATAGATCTTTGTTGAAACCCTGTAAGACAAAAACATTGTTTATATCAATTACATATTTCATTTACACAGTTGGATGAAATAATGATAGATTCAGAGTTTATTTCCCAGCAACTCAGAAACAATTATTAAAATAATTGAAACTCTTTGCACAGCATAGAATTTTGCCTATGCAACGTTATCTAGAGATCCATCAGGAAGAGGCCTCGATTCATCTCTCTGATGCAGTGGGGATTTTACTTGGACCAAGTGGCTAAGATCCAAGGTTTGAGGGAGTAAGAAGCAACTTATTGAAGCAGGAATTGTTCTTTCCTTTCCTTTTTGCTCCTGTAACAAAGAGTTTACCATGGAATTTGTACAAAGCAAGATTCTAGTGGTCCTCTTCTGTTGCTATTAAGCAAAGAGCAACTCACGCTTCATGTAGTAGCCTCTAGCCCCATGCACTAATGTCAGCATTGGCTTACCTTCAGAAAACCCAAAAGTACACAGGCTACTTACAAAGAGACACTTATATAAACCACAAATATTTATTATGAGAGCACAGGACTTATTTGGTTGTATTTTCTCCTTTCACGTTATGCAGATGGGAAGTAATTCATTGTCGTTCGTGTTCATTAGCAGCATCAATCAGTTCTGCTGCTTTGTCCTCATCCTTCGGCTACAGGAGGAGGGCAGCTGGAGCCCACATTATATGACTCAGCAGGTCTCACTTGGCCCTTGGGCTGCACATTACATGCCCCAACTCAACTGTCTGATGTGCCGAACAATCTCCGATTTCCAACTGGGAATGCAAACTGATAATGAGATTGCTTTCATGTTCTAAATCTCAGTGGTATTATCACAAAGGCCATTTTCTGGCTTTTGCAATTGCCTGAAAGGGAAAGGAAAATAAGCTGTAGAGGTAAAAACAGAATCATTGTGTAAGTTACAAGAGAAGCACAAGCTGCTGATTCAAGAGAAAGTGTTAACTGGTTTCAGGAAAATAGCATTTTTACTTTCTTCTGATACACGTCACGTTAAGTACTTAAACATACTTTTGTGGCAGAGGGTTACAAAGGACATTGCATTATATTTCCACCAGCACTTGGGTAACACTACCTAAATGCTATGTATTTGTGTAACACTACATACATGCCTTGCAAATTTTAAAACAGTAGAGCGGCTCATACTATTCTTCTGCATACAATCATAGTATGCCAAGAGATCTGCTTCACATCAGCAACAAAACCACTGATCTGTTAAATGTAATACTAAACAATCTACTAGCGCTTCTTCTTCCAGGTATTATGACAGTCTATAATTACTTCTCTAATTCTCACTTAACATTTGTGCTATAGCATGGTTTTTAGTTGTCTGGCATCATGTAATTGTATTTTAAAATTTGCTAAAGAAGTATTATGTCTTGAGAAACCACAAGCAGCAGGGGCCAACTTTTAATAAGAATCTCTGTTAATGTCACTTCAACAACATGATTTCCACTGTTTTAATCACAGGGGGTCTTTAATTTGCCTTGAGGGACACACAGTTAAAGCCAAGAAAAATGTCACAATTACCAACTGACTACGAAGAAGAAAGAAAAGTAGTTGTTTAAGCATTGTTAGGAAATTACACTCTTAATCAGAGCATTTAAATATTTTTGTGCTTTTCACTTTGGTATCGATAGGTAATGAGATATAAATTTACATCAGGCATAAACAGTGACAAAAAACTTCAGCTGGTCATGAGTCTGCTGCAATATCCCTGAACTTCTGAAACAAGTCTGCACCATCCTGCCAGGCTGGCCAGATTGTGCTTCCTCAGGCCCTATGTGGGGGCACATCATGGACTCCTTCCATGAGATATGTGCAGCCCTACCGAGGGACAACCCAATGTATGCTACTACACTGATCACTGAAGGAGAAATACAGTCACTGAGCAAAGCCAGAAAAGATCCTGTAAGGAATTTATTCCTACTTTGTTCTGCTTTTTCTGAGAAGGTTGTTGTTGGACAGGACATAAAAGAGTGGAGATATAAGAGTTTTAGACTAAGGTTATACATGATTCAAAGCTGTACTAACGTAATCCTTGGCCAAGCTAAAAAATTCTCCGCGTCCTTTTTTGTTTGGTTGGCTGTTTTTGTTTTTTTTTGTCTCACATCAACTAAGGTAGCTGTGGTCCAGGTTTGGGAGATAGAAAGTATTTTTTGTCCATTTTGTACTGATTGAGAAAGAGAATGACAGTGAGCTGGCATTTGCCTGAATTCCTTACATCCCAGATCAAATCTAAAAATACCATTCATAAATGTCATTCTACTGAAGGCAAGACTGTTGAGCAGAAAGTATCCCACTATCTGATTCCCTTACTAACTGTTTCATTCATGTAATGATGGCAGATGATAGGATAATATCTGACTAAATGAACACCCTGCTAATTTTAATGGGACTGTGTCTTGGAAGTGTAATGAACTTCTGATCTACTGATGACTTTCATAATTCTAAGAATAATGACAGCATATTCAAAAATAATATTCTGCATGCAAGTTTGCTTTACTTGTTCTATAAAACGTACCTTACAGGTCCATCTAAGTTACTAGCTATGTATTTATATGGTACTTACCTTTGTTGAACAGAGTAACTTAGAACCTAAGGCTGTACACTATCAGATTGTATCTCAGCTGCATACACTGTACAGGAAACTATAGCACCTCCTTCAACTTACTGTAACGCATATTTATTCAGGTGGAATTTAATTCAAGTCAATAAATTGAAGTTGACTTCCGGCTCTTTCAAAGTATTGGAGCAGAGAAAAAGATAGTGACACTGGAACCATCTGCAACCACCTGGGACACTACCATCTCTCAGTAGCCCTTTATTAGTCATTAATAATTTTGTGAATTTAAATTTGATTTGCACAATGTAAAATAATAAGTTGAGGTGTAGAGATGCCTGTTAAGCTATGCACTGCAAAAAGTCTCTCAAAATGTGGAATT